AACAAGCAATTAGTTTTTTCTTTAGTCATGGAATGAAACACTCTGTTACTACGTACATATACCACTCATTACAGGTGCAATGGGGAAAGATTTTTGAAAGCTGAGTAAAATAAAATGTTTAGGTTTCTTGATTTTTGTAAATCAAAATGCCCATCTTTCTTGTCAGATATAAAGAAAATTAAATAACGCTCTGACCGATTTGTTTAAAGGCTAAAATATATTGATAAAATATACCATAAGATTACCTACATTTTTTTAATTTATATTTAAGGCAGATATCACTCTGAATACATTGTTATAATTTTAAATCAAAATATATTATTCCATAATACCTTTATCGTCAGTCTAATAAAGAAAATATCAATGAAAAATATCTGAAAGAATTTTATGGGATTAATTTATGAAACATATTTTTCTTGAGGTTATTGATGTTTAAACTTGGATAATGCACCAACAACCTTATACAATAAATCTTTCCCCACAAGCTTTTCTTAGAAGATATTTTATTGGGTTAGCCTTTTTGAGTTTTGACTGTATTTAAACTGTAAAAACTAAATTTGGAATGTGTCCATGGGACACAGATGATGACCCCGCTTGCATATAATGTTATAAAGGGACATAACTCAAGAACGGTAAAAGTGACACTACCCAAATTTGTACTTGATCTGAGTTTTGTAGTAATAAGCATTATGTACACGTTTCATAACATTTGGTTGAGGCAAACTTAAGTTAGAGAACAAAAAAATTGGCAATTTTTCCATTTGTAAAGGGACATAACTCTTGAACGGTAAAAGTGATGCCACCAAAATTCAAAATTGATCTGTGTTTTGTGGTAATAATCATTATGTATAAGTTTCATAACATTTGGTTGAGGCAAACTAAAGTTAGAGAATGGAAACGAAAAATTAAGCATTTTTTCCATTTGTAAAGGACCTTAACTCTAAAATGGTAAAAGTGGCGCTACCCAAATTCAAACTTGATCTGTGTTTTGTGGTAATAAGCATTATGTATAAGTTTCATAACATTTGGTTGAGATAAACTAAAGTTAGAGAACGAAAACGAAAAATTCAGCAATTTTCCATTTGTAAAGGGGCATAACTCTAGAACGGTAAAAGTGACGCCATCATAATTCAAACTTGATCTGTGTTTTGTGGTAATATATGTAAGCATATGTAAGCATTGTGTATAAGTTTCATAACATTTGGTCGAGGCAAACTAAAGCTAGAGAGCGAAAACCAATTTTGGGACGGCCGTACGGACGTACGGATGGGCGGACAGACGCACAAGGGTAAAACTTATTATTTCTTATGCAGCATAAATACTGCAATCTGATTGGTTAATTACCACGGTGTAAATAACACCCCACCCTTGTTCAACCCGGGATAAATAAAATTTTGCCAAAAAATTTAAAAAAATTATATTTTGCCAAAATAAAAAAAAAATGTAAAAAAAAAAATAATAAAATGTAAAAAAAAAAAAAAAAAAAATTTTTTTAATTTTTTTTCCCGATAATTCGAAAGAATACAAAAAAAAAAATCTGAATTTCCCTAAAATAAAGAAAAAAAGTATTTAACAATGCGCAGCAACATCGACGTTGAAAAAATGTTACACTGGAAATTTTTCATTAGCATTTTTTAATTTTACATCCCGGTTTAAAAAAATAGGTAAAGGAATTGTTCATAAGAAATAAATTCGTTATCTTGGTGTAATCAGGGGTGTACGAAATTTTACATGAATTTTCAACAACGGTGTAAAATTCTGTACACCCCTGATTACACCAAGATAACTAATAATACCCCACCGCTACGGCGGGGGCATAAAAATGTAATGACATATTCATTACGGCTCTGTGACGTCATAATGCGTCTAAAATCATTTTGTGTCTGGGCTTACATTTAAGTTATAAGTGATATTTATTTCCGTTTACGATAGATTAGATCTTGTGCTTCTCGCTTGAATCAAGTAAATTCATTGCACTTTAAGGATTATGTAATAACAAAAATAACTTAAGAGGTCTAATCTCTACTAGTAATTATAGTTGAAAGTTCGTGTATATCCTAAGAAGTATTCTCATTGATTGCAAGAATAAACGGGAATAACAAATTTTCTAAACTTCAAAGTAAATTCTACAAAATTCAGTTTCCATATAATTATACAGACTAGTTCTGACCAATTCCATCAAACTATTTTCATTTATGTCTTATGTTGAACAATGTTTTGCAGCGCGCCAAACCTCCCATTTGTATGACAATCATTTCAGTTCCAAATTAACGCCGTGACAGTCCATGCTCTACGGTGACTATATCCTCGAGCTCGCGAGTGGGACAGTCGATTACAGAGAGGGTCTGAATTATTTATTTGGGTTGATTCCAACGAAATATTTGAGATATCATTCCTCAATAGGGCGTGGATGGTTTTTTTTTACTTCAAAAGGGCGTGGTTGGGTTCTTTTACAGACTGTTAACTAACATACTTGATAAGCAAAGGTGAAACTGCAATGATATTGAGCGTCCAAATAGCCCTTTAATTTTTATCCAACCATCTTTAAACAAATTCATCGTTAAAGTTTATCGTTTCCTTTTTCTACAACTGTAATGATTAACTCACTTTGCCACAAAACTGCATCGTTGGCATGATCTCAATTTAAGTTTTAATTAATCCAACAACACAAATTAACGGTGTCTGTTAAATCATTACTCGAAGTCTATAATAGATGTCATTACGCTGTTTTGTTGGGTTGCTGTCTCATATTTGTCTTTTGTTATTCCGTATAACACTTTTTGTTTCAGGGCTTTAACAAAAGTTTTAATATAAACAAATTGCTGAAGTTACTGATTAAGTATTTATAAGCGCGTCTAATGAACTAAATTGCCACAGAGAGCTTATATAAAGGACTTATTCGTGGGTTTGATATGAATTTAACAAGAATCTTAAATCATGCAAGCTTTGTAATGTGATTTGTGATATATTGTCTAGATAGTGTATAGATATAAGAAGATGTGGTATGAGTGCCAATGAGACAACTCTCCATACAAGTCAAAATTTATAAAAGTAAACCACTATAGGTCAAAGTACGGTCTTTAACACGGAGCCTTGGCTCACACCGAACAGCAAGCTATAAAGGGCCCCAAAAACTACTAGTGTAAAACTATTCAAACGGGAAAACCAACGGTCTAATCTATATAAAAAACGAGAAACGAGAAACACTTATGAACCACATCAACAAACGACAACTACTGAACATCAGATTCCTGACTTAGGACAGGTGCAAACAATTGCAGCGGGTTTAAACGTTTTAATGGTACCAAACCTTCACCCTTATCTGAAACAATAGTGTAACATCACACCATAGAAAGACACACTATAAAATATCAATTGAAATGGCTTAACTCAAACAAAAGACATATTAACACCAGTGAACATACAGTATTTATGCCCGTTAACAATACAAAAGTTAGAAGATTCAAAGGACCAATCAAAATCATCGGTCGCAGAATTTCAATAAAATTGAGAATGGAAATAGGGAATGTGTCTAAGAGAGAACAAACCGATCAAAGAGCCAAAGGCCACCAATGGGTCTTCAACAAAGCGAGCAAATCCCGCACCCGGAGGCGGGCTTCAGCTAGCCCCCAAACAAAAATGTGTACTAGTTCAGTGAAAATGGACGTCACACTAAACTCCGAAACATATAAATGAACTAAAATTTAAAAAAACATACAAGACTAACAAAGTACAGAGGCTCCTGTCTTGGGACAGGTGCAAACACATGTTTTGTGAGATCTCAACCCTCCCCCTATACCTCTAGCCAATGTAGAATAAACAAACACACAGCAATACGCACAGTTAAACTCAGTTAAAAAGAAGTCCGAGTCCGATGTCAGAATAGGTAACAGAAGAAACTAAGCAAAATGACAATGATACATAAATTAACAAAGGACTACTAGCAGTTACTGACATGCCAGCTCCAGACCTCAATTAAACTGATCGAAAGATTATGTCTTCAATACCACAGTCGAAAGAGATGAAAGGATTAACAAGTTCCCAAAACATTACATCGTTACAAAACGGAGTTGGGGCACAAACCTAACAAAATAAAACACCTAAATGATTAACTCAGAGGCTTATGAAGAATGATATGTTACTGCCCTACTCGTGGCTTCAGTCATTTTGCTCATGATCAATAAAAATGCGATTGTTAGTCATTTCGTTAATAAGTCATAAGCCAGGAAAAGACGAACAGATTGTGGCTACGAATGTGGTTTTTTTAACGGTCAATACATTCGTGAAGTTTTCGAAGATGTGACTTAAATGGTACTATTAAGAAGCCATGGTTCAGTATCATTTTTGTAAGCAGCAATCTTACATCAACGAAATCTTGGTACGGAAGCTATATAATATCTTATCAACTGGGATATATATACTTCATATGAAGGTGCTGCTGAAATGGCGCTACACCAAGATGAAAAGTTCAAATGTGCATTCAGCGTAGTAATAGTAACAGCAAAAATTAAACAGTCCTTTATCAATATAACTGTTGCTGTTGGCAGAGTCGAAAAACTATTTCCCCTTTTCTTCATAGATTATAATTGTACTGTTGATACAAGTATTCTTATTCTTGAATATTAGTTCATTTAACGTTATATGTTTCGGAGTTTAGTGTGACGTCCATTTTCACTGAACTAGTACACATTTTTGTTTAGGGGCCAGCTGAAGCCCGCCTCCGGTTGCGAGATTTTCTCTCTGTGTTGAAGACCCATTGGTGGCCTTGTGCTGTTTTCTGCTCTTTGATCGGGTTGTTGTCTCTTAGACAGATTCCTCATTTCCATTCTCAATTTTATTGCACATTTGTATACTGTATTGATGCCTCTAGCTGTCTTTGGGTTGTTTTTGTCGTTAGACTACTGTCTCATTGACATATACCCTCCTTTTATTCACATCAAATTAAAACATTTTACTTTCATTTGATTAGGGGATCTTGAAAAGAAAAAAGAAAAACTTACCTATCAATAGCGATTGCCATCAGGGTAAGGACACTTGCTGACACGGTACAGATTGCCACAAAATTTGCGAATTTACACCACAAGTCACCAAACCACCAATTTTGATACAACAAAAATACTGAAATAAATGGTGTGTTCAGGAGAGATATTAAAGTGTCTGCCACGGCCAAATTGACTAAAAAGTAGTTTGTCACAGTTCGCATTCTTTTGTGTGCCATGACTATCCATATAACAATTAGGTTGCCACCTAAAGCAACAGTTATCAAAATTACAAAAGCAGTAAGGAAAATAAGTTGACTCCACCATGGCATCATGTACGGATCTTCATAGAAAGTTTCGTTTGGCAACAACTGTGCAGTGTCGGCAAAATTATCTGGTGAACTATTCATTTTCCCACCGTTTTAATGGACCATCGTTACGTAGAATTTACACTTCACAATTTCTATACTTGTCCATTAATTGTTTCTACAGATTTTTATAATCCGTTATAGAAAAAATCTAATTACGATAACGGTCCTTGACTACAGTCAAAAGTATCTTTTCCACCCGATCACATCTTTATATGACAGTACATTAAAGACCTTATCAATCACGTCTTCGATTTAGTGACAAAGTTTTAAGAATTCGTTTCCAAGTTAATCCAGTTGAAGTTTTTCTTTCTGTTTGTTTTTATTAATAAAAAACCACAGAACATACGATTCAATTGTATTTATTCCATCGATTCCTTATCCGTATTCGAATACTTTTTTTAAAAGTCATTTTTTTCAGTTTAAAACAAAATAATGTTCTTCAAATCTCATTGAGAGACAATTCAGAAAAACAACATTCTTATCCTTATTAACCTTTTAAAAAGCAATTGATTCACCCCATATCAGAAATTAGCTATACAGCATAACCACGTGCTCTGCAGTAGCACTATACTTAAATACTACACGCTATTGAATTTTGAATGCCAATCAAATTGTTAGACAGCAATAACTTACAACATCTGGTAAGATATGAATGGCTACATCTAATATGAGATCATTAATTGTGTAAGTACTATCATCTTTGTAGCGGCGAATAATACATTATCTATGTTTAATGCTCTGTATTGGAATTCCTACTAAATGTTTTAACAGTTTCAACAAATATGAACTAATTAACAATATGACAGTATTAAGAGAATAATGATATTTTTGTTTACTGTTATACAATGTTTTAGCGATAACATATAGGCTTGTCAGACACGTTTAGTTTATGTTTATTGTTGTTGTACCTCATCCAGAATCAAATAAATACTACGATTCATTAACATCTTCATTGTCTTCTTGAAATGCTTATACCAAGTCAAGAATATGACAGTTGTTTTCAATTCGTTCCGTTGGTTGATATTGTCTAACGTTTAATTTTGTCAGTTTGAATGGACTAACCCCTTTTTGAATTTACCTTTGAGATCGGTATTTTTGTTAATACTTTGTTTCACTTCATCAACACCTTTAATAAGATACGTATGTGCGTACTAATATGAACAAGTGTTGCCCTTTGTGCTTATTTATGGTTGATTATGTAGTTTCAATAGAATTGGTCGGTTTTTTTGTGAGATTTTTTTTAAGTCTACGACATGAGACACTGATTATGAAATAAAAACCAAAAACAATAGAAAAACATTAACATTTAAATGATATCTAGCGTTTTTACAACACAAACAAAATTTTGTCTCCTTAACCGCTACTGTTAGGGTTCTCTTTTTGGATATATTTAATATATACTTTTTAAATCCAAATAACACATGGCTCGAACAAATTATTTTGAATTTCATATGGGCTTTCATAAATATGAAGTTTACTTGTACTAAGACATGCTTGCTGTTACACAAGACACTGTAGTTTTGAAACTTATATATTCGGAAATATTCTCTTCCAACTTAATCAAATTATTAAACCGCTTTTCTGTAAATGAAATACTTTGCTTTTATAATTAAAACAATGTGAGACTCCCTTGCATCAGTTTGCGATGTATAAATTTTCAACGAATCTGTCAGGTTTAGCAAATGTCCCGAAACAAAGCATCACTGATTTTGACATTTTTAGAACTTTCTATTCCAGACACAAAAGGTTAATGATTGTACTAAAAGACTTTGATTACATTTAGCTAGTATCTATATACTAAGTATTCTTTAAGTAGCAAAAGCAATTTCAGGGTTTCACAGGTAAAACAATATCGGTAAAATCAGCGAAAAATTCCCATCTAATGAGCTTTTTTGATATTTTTATTTATTTATCTTCACTATCAATGCATTTCCTGAGTTGTGTCAATCGATCATATGTTGAAAAGTATAGTATCAACAATAATATTTTTTCATCATTTTCTGAATATATCAAAAATATCATAATATCTTGCTTACAAATTGCTGCGAAGCTAAAGTTTTGTTACAATATGAATACTTTTCTCTAATTCTTTGTCGATTTATTCTTTTCCTGACCTGTTGATTATTTTTATTTAATCAACGTGTGGTTCGTTTGATCTCAGTTCTTCATTGGTCAATATTCGATTATGACGTCAAATTTTCTTGCTTTCCTCTGAATTTCTTATTGTGACATCATGAAAGAGGCGCTCATACCTGATGACGTCACATAGAATGAACAAATCTTTTCGCAGACCATTCAATAAAAAGGATTAGGAATAATGTCTGTAATTCGACTAAAATTATTAGAATAACAGATTCCACAACAAATAAACATTCGACAGTTCAATTTCAAATATTTAAAACCCTCGGCGAGCCTCGCGTTTTAAATTTGAAAATTTTACTGTCTCGAGTTGATAAATATCGTATCACACTTGATGCAGTTGTCGAATTTGTATTTATCAATATTTTTTTCCTGCCAAATAAACAAAAATTTACAACTACATGTACATGTGCATGACTTTTTGAGTGATAATGTGTTACATCCCTCACAGATAAGAAGCTGCACTGTCTATTTTGTCGTATGATAAGAATGTTTATCGCTTTCCCCTTCTTTATGACATTCCTGCATTCTGCACTTTTCTTTTACTTCCCATTGGCAGCACGACAGGCGACATTTCTGGAGCAGGAATGTCTTACATAAGGTATTTTTAACATTGTCATGTAAGCGGGAGGTTTGGCTAGCCATTAAACCAGGTTCAACACACCATTTTTTTCTTAAAATGTCCTGTCCAAGTCAGGAATATGGCAGTTGTTATCAAGTAGTCCGTTTCTATGTATGTTGGCGTTTGTTTTTGTTGCAGTTCAGTGTTTCATTTGTTCCGTAGTGTTCCTCTTATAGTTGATGTGTTTTCCTCGGTTTTGGATTGTGACCTGGATTTGTTTTCGCTAAATCGATTTATGACTATTGAACAGCGGTATATTACTGTTGCCTTTATTTACACCTCCTGTGCAGATTATTAATCCCCGGATTTTGGTGTGCTTTCAGTTTTCTGTGGTATTTGCCATTTAGTCTTTTTGAGTTGTCCATGTTGTTGTCTGTACTGTATGCCTTTCTTTTATTAATTTTGTATTATCTTTTTGTTATCTTCTTAACTTTTTTATATTAAGTTCACCAACCAAATTTGATTTTGTTTGCAGTTTACTATAGTATCTTATGGTAATAATGTTTCATATGCATCTATCATATGTTCAATCAACTAAAATTTAAAAAAAACACTAATGCAGATAAAAATATCTTTTTTTTTTTTAATTTGATTTATTCATATTTTGAAAAAATAATACAAATTGAACAATGTTAAAATTTTGACATGTTATTTAACCCCATAAGTTAGACGTACATTCAATGGTTTAGTTGGAACTTTTTAAAAAGAACTAAAAAGTGAATACCTTAATTCCTTTTTTCATGCTGTAAATAAAAACATACAAGCCTGTTGTTCAGTGGTTGTCGTTTGTTGGTGTGGTTCATAAATGTTTCTCGTTTCTAGTTTTATATATATATAAATATTAGACCGTTGGTTTTCCTGTTTGAATTGTTTTACACTAGTCATTTTGGGGGCTTTTATAGCTTGCTGTTCGGTACGAGCTAAGGTTCCGTGTTGAAGGCCATACTTTGACCCATAATTATTTACTTTTTATACATTGTGTCTTGGATGGAGAGTTGTCTCATTGGCACTCATATCACATCTTCCTATCTATATTCTCTTTAATAGCTGTTTTTGGATATATTATAATGTCCCTCGTCTTAAGGATGACATATATTTTGTAGTCTCAGTTTATTTATTTACCCAGCATGCTCAGGGTTATTTAAAATTTTACATATTGTATGAACACGTGTTCGTATTTCTCAAGTAATAATGAGTGTATGTGTGTAAGTTTTAACCTCTAGATGTGTTTTCGTTTGTGTCGTTGGATTGCTACTTCATTGATGTAAATCCCATATTCATATTGATACATGTACACAGCAATATCGTGACATGCTGTATATGTTTATCTAATATAGGTTTTGTAAATATTACAATGTACACAATAATCTGAATGGTTGATACCATCTGTTGACAGTTTCTTTCTCGTTAACAATAGTTGATAGATTTATTCAGTAATGAGGTGGAATAAGTGACATATCAATAATAATGATAAAAGATAAATTAGCACTTAACATTTAATCCTTGATACACTCCAGAAAGCTGTGTTGTATATTTACGCAATATTTGCTTACTTATATTCATAAAATCTTTACTCTTCTATAAGTATTTGACAGACTGTCTCGACTCAATAGCGAATAATGATAAAGTTAAAATTGGGATCTTCATTTTGAGATTTCAGGTAACGCATACACATATGATCTGTTATGGCTCTGGTTGATGTTACAAATAACGTATATGACCTTGTTTTGTTCTGATTTTTATGATCTTTAGGATCTGTTATAGTTCTGATTGATTGATATTACATAGAACGCATGTGGTGTGTTATAGATCTAGTTGATAGTATAGGTGATGCATATAATCTGTCATCGTTCTGATTAATTGGTATTACAGGTAACAAATATAATCTGTTATGGCTCTGATTGATATTACAGGTAACAAATATGATCTACAACCCCTTTGATTGATATTAAAAGTAAAGGAAACGATCGCTTTTGGTTGTGATTGATTTGAGGGTGGAGTCCTCATCAACAGTAGAGAATTAAAAGTCAATTTACTAAAAAAAAGTCCAAAATCGTTATAAACATTTTTTCAGTTTCCCGCATTTATACAGAATTATTATCCAGTATCGTTTCCTTCTTCCGGTATCGTGTGTATCGAGACTTTGCGTAAAATCATATGATTTCCCGCAAATTTGTTGTATTTGATTACCAAAACATATTGGCACTTAAATGATGAATATAGATTCGGTATCATTTTAAAATGAGTCTAGTGGTTAATCAACATACAATTTTATAGCAAGCAAAATATTTCTCTGGGTAGACTCATCTGATCAATCAGGCAGATTATTGTATCTATTATTACAGGAAAGGAATATGACCTGCTATAGTTCTCTTTTATATTATACGAGACTCATATGATCTTTTATAGTTCTGATTCGTATTACAAGTAAGATATGGAGTCTGTTGTGGCTCTGATTGATATTACAGGTAAAAAATATGATTTGTTTTGGTTCTGACTGATACTTAAGGTAACACGTGTATATGATCTGTTTTGATTCTGACTGATATTACAGGAAGCACATATGATCTGTTTTGGATCTAACTGTTATTACAGAAAGCTCATATGATCTGTTTTGGATCTAACTGTTATTACAGAAAGCTCATATGATCTGTTTTGGATCTAACTGATATTACAGATAACACTTGTATTTTGTTTCGTTTCTGATTGATATAGCAGGTAACACTTATGATCGTCTAGGTTCTGATTGATATTACAGGTAACGAATATGATCTGA